GTAGTAAACACCCCAATAAATTCCTTCAGAACTATTTATTTAAAGTAATCTATACTGCTTCTCTTAATATTCAGTTATATTTAACTCAGTTAATTTAATTCGATGTCTTTATTTTTACAGCACCAATTCACAATAAAAGTCCTCTTGGGCACTGTACAAAAGAAAAAACAAACAAGTCAAAATCATAAACCCAGTTCAGATTCACATCAATTCAGTTTGTTCTTATAATACCATACATATTCAGTACATTATAAAATAATTAGTAAAAGTTATCTGTTTAAGGAAACCAGCAGACTGTGCTGAATTTTCACTTTGACACAACCTCCCATCCTGCGCAGCACAGCAGCGACAGTGGAAAGGAATAATCCGTCCTGTTTGCGGTGGGTCACAGTTCTCAAAAATAACTTCTTAATCTGCAAAACAAAATGCTGTCGAGTCAGCAAACTCTACAGAGCAGAACTTGTGGGCATGGAGCCAGAACAAACACATACAGAGAACCAAACCTGAACCAAAGATCGATCAGTTCACCGGGAATATAAAGATGACCTGACAACCTGTGCAGAGATGATCAGGTGCAAGTGGTCGTGGCAGAAGTGTGAACCAAAGACTGAGAACATTACTGAAACCTGGGAATAACACAGTCTTCAAACACAGAAAAGCACAGATCCTAACACTATTTCTTTTTAACAGGAAGAACCAAACCTATATAACCGGGCTTGAGATGGATGCCAATCTGACTCAACCATCTGGGTTTGAGAGGACAGGAAGGAGACACAGACAAACACAGAAGGATTAGCCCAGGTGGAGTTTATATGGGAAGAAAACACATGTTCAAGATAGAAATGTGTAAAAATACCAGCAGAGTAGAGAGTAAAGACAGCAGAGTGAGGAGATGTGTTCAACATAACTAAAGAAAAGCTCCGGAAACCCAAACCAAACCTAATTACAGCATTTATCAAAATGGAGACGAGATAAAATTGGATGATTTTGGGGGCGTGACACGGTGGCTCAGGAGAGCTGACACCTCTCAGCAAGAAGGTCGCCAGATCAAATCCCTGCCAGAGACCTTATGTTTCCATGTTCTCTCTGTGCATGTGTGGGTTTTCGTTTGGTTTCTGGTTTCCTCCCATAGACCAAAAAACATGACTGTTAAGTTAATTGATAACTCTAAATCAGAGGTGCCCAAAGTGGGGCCCATGGGCCAACATTGACCCGCCAAGCCATTTCATTTGGCCCAACAGCAGTTGTCCCGATTACTAGATTGTAATTATGTTAAGATTAAATATAAAATATAAGTAACTACAAGAGACATTTAGATTATATTTAAGCCCATATCTAGATTCAAATTTTAAATTATGAAAAGTCCCATGAGCCTTTGCTGACAGCATATGTTGAATTTTCTCCATGTGTTCTCCAGGGCTGAAAAAAATGTGGGCAGCCACACTTGCTGCTAGCTTAATCATAAAAAAAACAACAACTTTACTTAAGAAATATTTGCATTTGTTATACTGCATTTGTCCCGCGGCCCTCAGATTGATTTTAATTTTGGCCCTCTCAGGGAAAATGTTTGGGCACCCCTGCTCTAAACTGTACCCAGGCGTGAGTGAGAGAGTGAATGGTTGTTTGTCTCTGTATGTCCCAGTGATGGACTTGTGACCTGTCCAGGGTGTACCCCGCCCTATGGACACCAGTGACCCTGAACGGAAGAAGCAATGGATGGATGGTTTAGGGGATGGTGGTCAGTGACATGATCTTATGATCCTAAAGCTGCAGGTTCAAGCCTAACTTCTATTCTGGAAGGACATCTGGCGAAAAACAAATCCCACATCTTTCATGTGAGTTCTGCTTCTGTGGTGAGCCCTGCAGAGAGGAGCAGCAGAAAGAAAAACAACAACACGATCTTTCATTTGGTCAGAGAACTCTAACAGCAGCACTTTGGATCAGCTGGAGACTTTTTACAGAGTTTCTGGACATTTATAAGAAAGAATTACAGTAGTCCAGCCTAAAATAGGGAATTACATTCACTGAGTTTTTTTTTTTATCATTTTGCATAAAAATATTGGTAATTTACCAGAATATACAGTAGCTGCTGAGGGATTCCTTAAGAAAAATAACACCAAGGCTCTTTCCATCGAAGCTGCAGGTCAGGTTAAAAATCTTCCAGAGGAAGTGAAAAGCTGCAAAGTTTCTCCTGAAATGCTCAGGTATAAAACCCTCCACCTTTTAAACATACGTTTTTCTAAACCAGAGGATCATTTCGACACGTGAACGTCATCAGAATCAGATTTGCAGCACATTTCTGTTTTTATGGCACTTATATGTTGTTCTCCTGTTTCAAACATTCTTATCTCTCCGCCCTTTGCACCGTTTGCTACCTTTCTGTTTATTACCTCTGAGTTATGTGTGTGTGTGTATGTGTGAGTTATGTGTGTGTGTACGTGTGAGTTATGATGTGTGTGTTCTCAGGGTGGGAGAGACACAGATGAAGGAGGGAGACGAAGGATTTAACTAACAAACAGAG